CGATTTGCTTTTTCTAATATATGATCTTTTCCATCTGATAATTCTTAATATTATTTATAGCTTAGACAATTATATGATATTAGTCATTGTAGTAATCCTCATCCTAACATTAACCAATTTTATGGAATTACGTGCGGTATTGTAATAATGCATATTACATTCTTAATGAATATATTCTTTAGATATTTATAGTGTTAATTAATACTAGACCCTGAAGCAAATAAATTCATGCTGATACTACAATTTGCCAACAGAGGGAACTTGCGACAATATTTAAACAACAAATGGCATGAAGGAATTTATAAAATATCGATAAATAAAATTATCAAATTTGCAAAACAAGTTACTGATGGTTTGGAATACCTACATAAAAATAATATAATCCATTGCGATCTGGTAAGCATCAATTTATTAATTAGCCCTACTCCTAGTTAATTTTATATTTCCTTTTGAAGTCATTAATTAATTGTTTATTAATAATTTTATTGAGCATCCTAAAAATATATTAATGAATGATGATAAACTCTTAATTGCGGATTTTGGATTATCAAGGAAATTAGACGATAGTTATATCTCTTCGGCTTCAATTTTAAAGGGCGTGCCAGCGTATCTTGATCCATATTGTCATCACCGTCCTGGAAAACAACTAGATGAAAAATCAGACATTTATAGTTTGGGAGTAATATTTTGGGAACTTACAAGCGGGATTCGTCCATTCGCAAATGCTGAACATGGATGGATGATAATATCTTATATATTGGCAGGCTATCGAGAGCAAACAATTCCTGGTACGCCACCTAAGTACGCTAAACTTTATCAAAAATGCTGGAGTTTTGAACCAACGAAACGTCCAATGATATGTGAAATTCTCGAAAATCTTGATTTAATATCAGAAGAAAAAGTAGATCAATTTATAATGAATGACAATAGGGAACTTATACCTATTGAAACAGATGAACAACATAAAAATATGCATAACGATGATTATGCTAAGATATTATTACATGCACATAGTCCTAGTAAATCGAATCCGAAAACTTCGATAGGTTCTTCAGCTAAAGCGTCAAGTGCTATATCTGTTAAAAAATCTAAAGAATCATTTCATTCTAATTCGAAAAATTCTAAAGATTCATCTTCAACTAGGTCACTTAAAATGTACTTCTCCAGACAAAAGTTAGAAAATGCAGATGAAATGAAATCACAAGGGAAAGTTTATTATATGTCAGGAAATTATAAAGAATCTCTCGAATACTTAAGTAAGTCTTTGCATATTAACCCAGATGATGCTGATGCGCTGAGATTGCGAGGAGAGACTTATTTCAAATTAAAAAAATATCAAGAATCGCTTACGGATTTAGATAAATCGTTACGTCTTGAACCTAACAATGCATTTGCACTAAGATCTCGAGGGAAAACATTTTATATGTTAAAGGACTATCAAAAATCTCTTACAGATTTAGAGAGATCCTTAGAAATTGATCCTAATAATGCAATTGCATTAATGTCCCGAGGACAAACATATTTCATGCTAAGTCAATATGATCAATCTCTTGCAGATCTAACCAAATCTTTAGAGGTTGATCCTGGTAATTTAGTCGCATTAGGATATCGAGGGCAAGCATATTTCATGCTAAAGCGCTACAGTGATTCCCTTGCAGATTTGGAGAGATTTTTAGAAATTGATTCAGACAATTCAATTGTACTAAATTCTCGAGGACAATTGTGTTATATGCTTAAACACTATGAAGAATCTATAAAAGATTTAACTAAGTCATTAAGCATTGATTCTCAAAACGCAGACACATGGAAACTTCTAGGCAAATCTTATTTTAAGCGGAAAAAATATAAAGAGTCTCTTGAATGTTTAACAAAGTCATTAAATATTGAACCAAAAAATGCTGATGCATTAAGAAGCCGAGGACAGGTGCACTGCATGCTTGAAAAGTATGAATATTCACTTGAAGATTTAAACATGGCATTAGAAATTAACCCAAACAACGCAGAATCCCTTAAGTCCCGAGGACAAACTTATTTTAATTTAAAAAATTATAATAAATCTCTTAAAGATTTAACAGATTCATTGGAAATCGAACCAGATAATGCATTTGCATTAAGATCTCGTGGACTAACATATTACGAGTTAAATAACTACGAAAAGTCTCTTACAGATCTAACTAGATCATTAGAAATAGAACCAGATAATGCATTTGCACTAAAATTTAGAAGTAAAATATATTATATATTGAATAGCTACGAGAAATCTCTCACAGATTTGAATAAATTAACTGAAGTTGATTCAGATAATTCAATGTTGTTAAGACGCCGAGGGCAAATACATTACATGCTAAAGCACTACAAGGAATCTCTTGAGGATTTGACTAAATCATTAGAGATTGATTCCAATAATTCAGATGCAATAACATTTATCGGAAACCCTTATTTTACAAATGAAAATTATAAAGATACCTTTGAAAATCTGACAAAATCATTAAGAATTGATCCTAATAACATGGATGCATTAGAATTTCGCGCACTAACTTGTTACATGTCAAAAGATTATGAAGAATCTTTCGAAGATTCGAGAAAATTATTGAAGATTAATCATAAGAATTTAGTTGCTCTAAGAATTTTGGGACAATCTTGCTACAAGCTAAAAAAATATAAAGAGGCTGTAGAAAATTTATCAAAATCGTTAGAAATATACTCAGAAAATATTGATGCATTAATATATCGAGGGCTAGCAAATTGCATGCTTAGCCAATATAATGATTCTCTTGAAGATTTTAATAAAGCATTAAATATAGAAGACAATAATACGGTTGCATTGAGATGCCGTGGACAAGCCCATTACTATTTAGGAGCATATGACGCTGCGCTTAAAGATTTGAAAAAATCAATAGACATAGAATCAGATAACGCGTTTGCATTAAGATATCTAGGACAAATATACTACATGCAAAATAACTATGAAGAATCACTCGCAGATCTAATTAAATCTTTGGAAATTCAACCAGATAATCCTGTTGCGCTGACATTTCGAGGACAAGTACATTATAAATTAGGACAATATAATGAGTCAATTAAATATTTAACTGAATCACTGAGTTTTAATTCTAAAAACGCAGTTGCGTTAAGATTTCTAGGTCAATCCTATTTTAAGTTAAAAAAATATGAAGAGTCTTCTGAAATGTTAATAAAATCATTAAATGTTGATTCTCAAAATGCAGATGCATTAAAGTTTTTAGGAAAATCCTATTTTAAGTTAAAAAAATATCGCGAGGCTCTTGAATGTTTAAAAAAATCATTATGCATAAAACCAGAAGACATTGATGCATTAAAAAGCCGAGGCCAAACATATTGTATGCTCGGAAAATATAATAATTCTCTTAAAGATTTGAACAGAGCGTTGGAAATTGACCCAAATAATGCAGAATACTTAAGATCCCGGGGACAAACTTATTATAATTTAAAAAAATATAAAGAATCTCTTAAGGATTTCGAAGATTCATTAAGAATAGAACCAGATAATGCGTTTGCACTAAAATCTCGAGGGAATACATATTACATGCTAAATCAATACAAGGAATCTCTTGCAGATCTAACCAAGTTATTAGAAATTGATCCAAATAATGAATTCGCGCTAAAAGTTCGGGCGCAAGCATATTCCAAATTAGGTCGCAAAGAGGAGTCACACGCTGATTTAGATAAATTATTACAATTAGAACAAAAAAGAAAGTATGAAGATTCTTTCAAAGACATGAAAAGTTCATTAGGCATTTTATGATGCAACAAAATCTGAAAAAACTAATAGATAATTTTACACCATCATGTAATATAAATTTCATTGGTTAATTACGCAACATTAGAAACATTTCCATGATGCAAAAGTGAAGTATCCAAAGGTTTACTGTGGCAATTAGTAATATGATTATCTTGGAAATTTGATATAATCATTGATCTAAATAATTCCGAAGAGATGATACAGAAGACCAGTATTTTAAATAGAAATAAAAAACAAAAATACAAATAATAAGTGGGCACACTTAATTACTAGAGTTCAGCACGCGAATTATTAAAGTATAGCATTCATGCCTGTGACTGGAGCTACGTTTAATCGTGTGCGCTCTGGCACTTGTAGAACCTTAGTCAATTAGGTTATAGACTAATGCCTAGTTTGAGATTCTTCCAATAAGAATGAGAATTCACTTTAATCGAAAAAGGCATTTGCAATTGGAATGAGAATTTAAAAATAAATTTCGATTTCAAATCACGGATATTCAAATATGCCAATAAAAGAAAAAAAAACTCCTGAGCTTGAAAGATTAATAACAACACTCGTTATTTATTATAATAAACAAGATCGTAACCTGC